TTAAACACCTCGCCTCACCTAACTTTAGAACACTGAAGTGGGGAATTAATTTTAGGTTATATTTTACTCTAAATTACATTATTATAGCTTAAGGTTTTTATTCTAAAACCCACAAAATAATAAAGATAGTAATACTGTTATTGTTGGAATTATTTTGGCCTTATTCAATGACTGTCTCTTCTTTTTTAGCAACACATCCAATGCTGGCTGATGCAGGCGCTCCTTCTGTAGCAGGCCACAAGGTTAGACAACTAAAATGGTCCGCAGCTTTGCCCTCTGTTGGTTACCATTTACCTCACATGTCCATTATGTGATGTATTCTCCCCTCTCTTTGTGGACTTTAGTGTCCCTCCATGAATGACACCAGACCGCCCCCCCCTCCCCAAAAAAGCAGGAAGATCTGTAGAATCTAAGGACTCACTTGATAAAACCAGTTATTCCTAGATTTAGTTTCGGACAGATGGTGTCAGAATTTTTTCAACCAAAATAATTTTAATTCATGTAAACATTATACATAAATCACTCTACCTACTTCCCCACCCTGGTGATCTCTGGAAATAACCAGGCGGAGGAGGAACAATGTTTGCACACATCTTGCCAGGCAGCTTGCAACTGTGGAATCTCAGTTTCCTTCCTTTATCTGCATAGAGTTCCTTCTTCCACCTGACAGAACAAAGCTAGGAAAACATACAATCTTCCTACAGATAAAAATGACCACCTAGTGATTATTTTAATTTACCCAAATGCAGCTGAGTTCCTAGAACGGCTCATTGTCTACCAATTACATGTAGTCAGGCCAAATGGTGCTGCTGACCACAACGAGGAAGGTAACAGTAACAACCACAGCCACACGTGCCTGGGTTTTTTTGGGGGGGGTGCTTTTCACACATTCAAGAGTAACTGCTATTACATATGGAGGCTCTATGGAATCACAGTTCTATTACCTATCTCCGGAGTGATCTGGTTCAATAATCAACACCAAACTACAAAAGTCTCACTCACACATACCAATGTGAGATTCTTCTTTGCCTTGATACTGTGGTGTTATAAAGAATCTTTTAGATTTACGCTCTAAGCTTCATAGGATCAGGATCAGAGGTTATTCTTTGTCCCCTGAAGCAGTACCTGAGATGTGCTGGCTGCCAGTTTACATAAGTCACCCACACCTCAGTACACACATGCACATGCACACACACACAGTATGTCAGCAAAAAATGAGTTACTGTCAAGCAACCTATGTCAACTAGGTCAAGAGCCACCTTAGTAAAAGTGACTGTCACAAAGTCCATACATCACACCATCACAGTTGCTACTACCACTGTCTGTTTTTCCAAAGCTCCAGCCTAGTAAGTGTGGTATTTCTTCAAGAGATCTTGCTTCATTTTTCAAAATAAGTATTTTACTTGCCCTGTGAAAAATCAAGAAGGAACAATGATGGGTAGGAAACTCTAAACAAAGATGCCAAGAAATGAGAAGCTCCTTCATGATGCCTGCAGGGGCATGGGGCAATCAAGCATCGGAAAAGACACCACCACTCTTCCAGGAATTCTGTATGACAATGACCTCAACACCACCCACAGAAAATGTCAGTAATCAGGGCAAGCAGCGGCTCAGTGACACCTGTGAGGAACCAAGACAGTGCAGAGCACAGACCAAGGGCTCAGGGGTGTGGCTTCCAAGTGCAGAGTTTATGTCTGGTCCTGGCGTGTTCTTCCAAGAATGGCAGATCTCCAAGAATGCCACTATCATCTGAGGTTCTGATCAGCTGGCAGAGCTGGATGCTGCTATGACAAGAGCCATTAAGTTCCACTGATATGGGGGGACTTGTGCAAAGGGGAAGACAAGTCCACAAAACAGACCCCTCCTTGCTTTCTCAGATGAGCTGAGGATAGGCCAAGAGCCTACTCAAAATAGCTGTGAATTAACCCAACATGGGCTACAGGAGTGCATGAGACTTAATGCAGTGAAGGTTGTCTAAGGAAATTAGTCTACAAAAGCTTAATGCAAATGTTACCAAATGGATGATCTCCTGTACGATCTTAAGAACTTGAGACTTTGAGTGAACTTCTAGGGCCATGTCCAGCTAAATCAGCTACAAAGTAGCCATGTGATTTCAGGACTTACTCAGTGGAAGTTAAACATTCTCAGCTATCAAAAAACAAATACTGGGGAGCCAGGCATGGTGGTCCACACCTGTAATCCCAAGCACTAGGGAGGCTGAGGCAGGAAGATTGCCATGAGTTTAAGGCCAGCCTGGACTACATACTGAGTTTAAGGTCAGCCTGAACTACACAGAGAGACCTTGTCTCAAAAACCAAAACACACATACACAACAACAAATCAAACCAAAAAACTAAAAAAAAACCCCAACAAACACTAATAGTTTTACTAACGTTCCTCTTCTCTGATGCTCTCATCTTCCATTCTAAGTCTGGTGTAAAGATACCAGGACTAGAGGTGTGGAGCTGCCGCTAGACTTGGCCACACTGACAATCAGAAAGAAAAACACAGAAAAAACTTTTACAATAAAGTACTGTGACTCAGGGTTCTTGGAATAAGACAGCTCTTCACTGACCAAGGACTAAACATTATGCCAATCACTGTCCAAATTAGGATGGAATTCTATCCAATATTCTCTACTTGATCACACAGGGGCACAAACATTCATCTTAGACTTACAAATATTGGTATGTTTCACTCCAAAAGCCAGGACCAGTGTTTCAGATTTTAGAAGTTTCTGGATTTTTTAATGTTTGCATTTGACTTCCTATGTTGAAAATCTAAATCTAAATTCTCAATCCTCCAAATCCAATCTTTTTGAGAATTATGTTGGCATTCAAAATGTTGTGGATTTTGGAGCATTTGAGTTCAGACTTTAGGATTAGTACGTTCAACCTATATAATTAAATTATAGAGAAAGACCTACTTAGTTGAAATCCATGAATTACAGAAATTCATCTATAACTGACCAGTTATGGAGAACACTGCCTGCGCTTTCTCTGGACAGACGCCAGCAAAGCCAACACAATCAGAGTGCTTCTCTGTAAAATAATCTACTAGTAACTTGATTTTTTACAAAGTTTTTGTCAACAAATCACTTAATCTAGTGATTTTCAAACTGTTCCACTAGAGTGTTGCAGTCATTTTGGGGGAAGCTGGACTTCAGCCCCCAAGAGCCAGGGCAGCTCTAATCAGACTGTACTTCAGTTAGCACTGAATCCATGCTCAAACACATCTGTGGAATTCATCTAGATAAGGCAACCTAAAGTAGTAAGATTTATCCCAAGGAAACCATTACAACTGCCAGAGGAAACATAAACAGGGTTTTGATGCTTTTGCTAACTGATTCTTCCCAGACGTACCATACTCATCAGCTGCACACATGGCAGGCACACAAGAATGACACTGGAAATGTGAATATTACATCACCATGGGGTTCCTTGGACTGTAACAAAAACCCTGTATGTAATACATACGAGTAATGGGAACAGGGAAAGTGGCATTTTAAATTCAAGGAGGTAGTATTTGTGGCTTTCTCTAAAGCAGGGATTTACCTACAGTCCCCCACCGGCATGGGACCAGTGAGTCTTCCAGGACTGCAAGAAGACATGCATTAAGTGCCACCAAGATGCTTCATCTGAGAAGTGGTACAACTCAGTTTCTCAGAGCCTTATGACAAACCACTGATATGATACAAGATCTCAAACATCAAAAAGAAAAGGCTACCAGCTGCTGGGAACTTGTCAACAAACTAATTACTTGACTAATTGCCTAGGTCAATGAACTAGGTAGGTATGAGTCACTAAATTGATTTGAACATGGAGTTTCTATACTACTTAACTACTTGCTCAAGTTATGTACCTATCTAGGACTCAGGGGCCTCAACCAGAATAAAACTGAAAGAGGTCTTCAATTCTGGGGTTTTCGTTTACCAGTGAATCCAGAAGCACTGAACTTTACCTCCACAATCCTTGCATGAACAGTAAGTGCTAATTAGGTCTTAAACAAGGGTCAGGCAACTTTAATATACGAACACAGTGCCCAAGGATGCTCCCAATCGGTGACGGGAGACATCCTAGTCCTCACTTGATTAGAGCCTCATCAAAGGCAGAGTGGTGTCACAAAGAAAATAGTAGAAGCCATCACTGGAGAGTGGTGATCAGCCCACTCAAAGATAATGTCCTTTCCTGAGCAAAGGTCTTGAGTCAAGTGGCACTCATCTCTCCATGCAGTTGCTGCTCCTTACAGTCAAAACCACCACAGCCATGTGTACACACACGTGCCCACATGTCAACCCATATCAGAACACACCACTGGCAATTCGGTAGTAAGCTGTAAATCTTTAAATTCAAACACTTTGTAAAAGTGGACATATCCTTTTATGAAGTTGGGAGGCAGGTGCTAATAGTTGTGGAGTCCATGCACTACGATGCACTACTTAGTACCCTGTCACCTGGATAGAGACAGCCTGGGTTCTGCCTCTTCCTGAGCTATGATGCAGAACCACCAGGTTTTACAACAGCGTTTCACAAAGTTTACAAGAGCTTAAAGACATGCACACACCCCACTGCTTCTATTTCAATAACAAGCCTGAAACTCGCCTAAATTGTCCGGTATTCACAACCACCCCAAGTTGTCTTAACAGAAGTAGAGTTCGTCTATTACAGAAGAAAAGAATGCAGTTGTTTTCCCAAAAGAAACAACTTCAGGTCACTAAGAATTTATTTTTTAAACATAAAATGCCTCTGGAATGGAACAATCATACCCAGCTTTAGAAAGCCTCAAACATGCCTGGGTCTCCCTTTCAAAGTTCTTACCCAGCGCAGCTCCTCTCGAGGGGCCCCGCCCCTGCAGCTCAAACCGTTCTGCTTAGTGCTCAGACTCGGGCCTTCTCACTCCCACGGGCCCACCTCCCCTTCAAAGTCCACGGCCTCCCCCGCTCCCCTAGAAAGCTTCTCCTTCCGGACCCCTCCCTCACTGGCCCTGCCCGACCCACTCACCCGGGGGCCACCACCTGGCCCGGCTGCGCGCACAGTTCTCGCACCACGCCGGCGCGTTCCGACCGGAGCCTTCGCTCGGTCCGCGCGGAGCGCCCGCAGCCCCCGGAGGCAGCACGGGTTGGGGCGGGCCCGGCGGGCTGCACGGAGGCGGCGGCCTCGTACACTGCTAGCACCGAGCCGATGCGTACGGCCGCGCCCGCCGCCACCCTCCACTCAAGCAGACGCAGCGGCGCGGTGCCCGGGCAGCGCACCTCGGCCACAGCTGCCGTAGGGGCGCCATCGGCGGAAACGCGGGCCGCAGGCGGCGCTTCCATCGCGGCCAGGACTGGCAGATGGGCGACGAGGGAAGCAAGCGCTCAGGGCGCGGCGCCCCTCGCGGGCGGCAGCGACCCGCAGTTCCCGCTCAGGCACCGGCTTCACCCGCCGCTCGTGGAGCACCGACTTCCGGGGGTGTGCCGACGTCACGGCGGGGAGGACGACGTGCCGCCGCGCGCGTGCGTGCGCTCAGGCCACTGGTAAACACCTAGTTCCACGCGGGACCATAGGCGCTGGGCCACACCTGTGGGGCGGGATGCGGACGGCGTTATTGTGAGACTGAGCTTGTGACGCATGCCACAGTCACAGGACTTCCGTCGCGCCCTGCGAGTGAGACTACGAGTCCCGGCATGCAATGCAGCTCACTGTCGGGATTCTTGTCGCGCCCTGCGACTTCCGACGTCGTGAAACTACGGGACCCGTAACAACAACACTGTTACTGTCACACAGATGCCGTCGAGTGTTGAGAATTTCAACGTCGTGAGACTACGAGTCCCGGCAAGCAACGAGGCAATTATCCTGGACGCTTGTCGCACATACGATACCGGCTTCGCGAGACTTCGGGCAACGCAGGTCGCGTTTTGCAGCATTTAGCATCTCTGAGTGTCTCCGGACCGCTCGCCTGCTCCTCAGCCTGTGCGGGGGCATTTGACACCCTTCAGCCTCGGGACTGCCCGGGCGCTCCATCTGCCTGTCAGGAGAGCCTTTGGACGTACAGGTCGTGGGGAAGTCGGAACAATGGCGGTTTCGCGGGCGCTTAGTCTCCTCAAACAAAACCGAAAGCGTGGACGAGATTACAGGTCGACTGGGAAATAAGGAATTCCCCAAACATTGGCTGTGAGCCGAGCTGGTCGGGCAGGCCCAGGGGGTGCAGCCCAGAAAGGATGGGGCTGGTGGGAGCGCGTTTGTCTGAAGGACGCCGACTCCTGTTAACCACATCGCTTTGCGCAAAGCCAGAGTGCATTTGTTCCCACAAGGCGGCGTGCCAGCTAGTCGCCTAAAAGTGCTTGCTACAGACAGCTTTCTACGGGTCTGGTTATATAGAATTTAAAAGCAAAACAGCAAGTCTAAAAAAACAAGTTACCAAAAACCGGTTATTGTTTCATTGGACATCGAGACTAGGGCAGAGTCTTGATTGGTTCTCCTTTAGTTAAGTTATATAGTCCATGTAAGAGCCTCGGTAAACAGGGCCAGGGATTTAGCTCAGCGGGACCGTGCCTGCCTTGCAGACACAGGATCCTGAGTTCGATCCCCGGTACCAAAACTAAAACAAAACAAAAAAACTACGGTAAACAGGATCAAGGTGCTTTCCAAGTTGCTTACTACTCTGATGCCATCAGTAAATCTACAAGGTACTGAGCTGAAGCAATTAAAGGTTAAGTAAACCACTCAGCGAGACTTTATCCACAAGGAAGTGGCTGTTATCCCACAACTCATGTCCATCAAGCTTAATAGAAGTTGACAGACTCCCCTTTATTTTCATTTGAGACAAAGTATCAGGTTGAAATAAAGACTTGAGTTATTGGGAAAAAAAAGAACTATTTTGCAAAAAGTAATACTGCAGTCAGGAAAGTTGCCTTCCTATCTTTAAAATCTCAGGGATAGATGAAAATTGAGAATTTTTAAGATTTTTAGGAAAATGAGGTGTACAGATACTGTGGAGCTGGGGGCAGCGTCTTCATGAAACATACTAATATTTTTGGAGCAAAATATAAATGGAATGAAAAAGACCACAAACATCCTGTTAGTTCAAGTCAATTTTTTTCCCCAAGAAGTGATAGAAAAATGTCCATGTTTTGAACTGTAGATTTGAAGTCTATAGAGGACATAGATATATGATAGAGTTGACTTTATGGCCAAGGGGGAGAAGGACCTAGCTCTTCTGAATTCTGGTTCCATCTACTTCCCCTGCACTGCTGTTTTTCAAACATCTGAGGATTTGATTGTCACTTCCTTGGAGGCATGCTTCCTCCAGATTCAGCTTCGTCATCTGATTAGCAGACAAGTGTCAGTTCTAGTGAGGCAAGAACTGAGAGTGGGGGTTGTGACGTTAATGACCAGGACATAATTTGTATGTCTCAGCTGGGTGACTTGGATTACCAGAGGTATGAGCATGACTCTCCTATTGGGCAGCTTTTTATTAATCGTATTAGTAAAAAGACTGATAAAAATGATTAGATCCATTTGTACCACCAGTGGTACAATTGCCCAATGGGACAGTAATGCATGTACCACCAGTGGTGTAAGCTGGTGGGAACATTTTAAAGAGATAGAAAGCAGTTATTAGAGTGGGACTATTACCTCTGGGAAGGCCAGATTTCCTGGGCCTGTGAGCTTCGTCTGCATATTTGTGTGACAGTGCTGATAGACCTTCACCTGTTTCATAGACCAACATGTGGACTGAAAAAAGTTGTGAGGACTTTTATACTGTATGTGAAAATTAGCTCACAGTGAATTGACCAAACACAAAAAATATAAAATTTCTGGAAGAAATCATGGAAAAGGTTTCATGACTTTGGAATTGACAGTGATTTATTGAATATGACACCAAATACACAGGCAACAAAAAAGGCAGATGAGATTATGTCAAGCTTAGAAACTGCACATTGAACACGATAGAATGAAAATTGAATCAACAAAAAATATTTTCAAGTTGTATATTGATAAGGAATTAATATCTAGAATATATAAAGACCTACAACTCAAGGGCACTGAAACAATCTAAAAATGGACAAAGGACTTGAGTAGACATTTTCCCCAAAGTGTTATGTACAAAAATGACAAGCACATAAAAATAGGCTCACATTTACTAATTGTTGAAGAAATGCAAGCCCCACTACAGTGAGTATCACCTTATACCCATTAGATCAATTATAGTCAAAAGACAGAACAAAGTAAGTGAAGGCAAAATTGTGAGACATTGGACCCCTATGTCCTGTTGGTGGAAGTGTAAAATGTTGCCACCATTGTGAAAATGGTGTGCAAGTTGCTCAGAATTATGTGATATGGCAGGCAGTTCCACTTCTGGGTATTTACCCAAAAGAATTGAAAAGATCTAGAAGAGATCTGTATTCCCATGTTCATGGCATTTTTCACAATAGCCAAAAGGTGGAAGCACCTCAAGTGCCCATGGCTGGATGGATGATAAGCACAAGTGCTCTGTACATACCATGGAATGTTTAGCCTTAAAAAGCAGTGAATTCTAATGTGTACTAAAACATGGGTGAAAGTTGACAACATGCTGACTGAAGGAAACTAGTCATGGAAGGACAAATACTGTGTGATTATCCCACAAGGTATGTAGAGCAAATTTATAGAAACAATGGTTCTGGGATTGCAGGAAAGGAAACAGTGGTCCTTCACTAGGTACAGAGTTTTAGAGATTTGTTGCATAAAAACTAAACAGACAACACTATTAAGCTGTGCTCCGTGGATAGTATGGTAAATGTGTGTGTGTGTGTTTACCACAGTTAAATTAAAAAGTGAGGTTCTATTAGATGACTTTTTCTGACTTACTTTTTTAAAATCACTGCTCAGTGTCCTGCTTAATGAATGTAGTTAAATAAATATTGTTTCTGAATCAACTAATCTAAGGATGTGCTCATTTTTATTTATAATATAAACTAGAATTGCTTGAAAAGCATAGAGCTTAATAAGGGAAATAGTTACATACAAAAGCAGAGACCAGGTGTGCTTAAATGCCTTTTAAAGGTCGCTACCTGTGACCTTTGTTGCTAAAACTCACTGATATCTAGGAAACAAATTAAAATGAAATATTAACCAATTTTCCTTCTCCTTGAGATCTTTCTTAAGTTCCTTTATCATTTTTTCTTAACCTACCCAAAATCTTAATAGTTTTTAAAAATCACAATAGTTTTAGATTCTGGATACACTGGTGAATCCTAATATTGAAAATATGTTGCCTAGGCTTTCTGCAGATGATATTGATGGTTCTTGACATGTAGGGTGTGATATTCTGCAAGTGCTGAGTGTATTGCAGAGTGTGGTTTCATTTTATCCACACCATAACCTAAGGTAGTGGACAAGGGTGAGACCCTATAGTTGGCCAGATGCACAGCTAGAACAGGGCAGGACGAAAATCCTGAGGGGTGATACTGAATGCAGACCTGCTTCCCTAACCTCTGCTAGACCACTTTACTTTCTTATCTAATTAAGGGGCCATACTCCAAGGGACATCAATAAGTTCTATCTCAATGTCTGAATTACTAATGACACGTGACACAGGATACAGTTTATGTTGTATTGCATTCTTCATTTTTGTTCTTTTTACAAGACATCTGGGCAGGGACAGAAAACCATCACACTGGTCCAACTTCCAAGACAGGTGAGGATAATGACTTGCCCTAGGATAGAGGTAGCAGGTACCTTAATTTCTTCTTGAAGTGCCGGTGGAGTAGGGCAAAGCTGGGTGAGGTGAGGGTCAGTGCTGGAGAGTGCCTGTGTGTCGTTGCTTCCCTGCCTTGTATAGAGGCCAGCACTTCACCCTTGGTCTTGGCAGCTGTTTGGACTAAGACAAGTGGAGCAAGGAATATCAGATTATCCTTTAATTCCTTGGCCCCATGAACTGTCTCATAAGGTGCTTCTGCTACTCAGGGAGCTGTGTGTTCAGAGCCTTTTCAGACAGCCCTCCCATGTACCAAGTCAGCTACCCAACTCAGAGCCAGTTCCCACTTTGACTAGCTTTCCTGGACCCAACTCACTCTAGATGACAATGTCCTTTGATTCAGAACCAGGTTTAACAAAGCAGTACTGTGTTAGAGGACTGGGGTTCATCTCTCTTTCTCCTAGTTTCAAAGGCCTTGTGGACTCCAGACCTTTCAAAGAGGGACGTTAAACCTCAGTATTTTCTTGTTCCCCCATTTCCCCAGCCTGCATCTCCAGTGCACACAGGATTCTTCCATAAGGGCATCTTCTAGGTTTTGAGTCCTCAGGCTAGGCCAGATGTTGAAAGAGTCCACTTTTGACTCCATATTTCTAGCTCCCAGATTCCTCATTTTTAAAATTCTAACATATATATACATATATATGTATATATATATATATCAGAATATGTGTTACACATGGGTAAGTTATACTGTAC